GCAACTGTTAATATAATTCATAACCTTATCACACTTTTTTCTCAGCAGAGAAAAACCCATAAGGCTCTTTCTCTGCACAGTTTTATGGAAGACTGTAAACCATGAACAACAAGGCCTAATGCATTTCTTTGCAATCATCTCTTTAAAGAGAATGAGAAAGTTTGTCATTAAAGGAATATGGTGAGAATTATAGAATTGGGAGATTTTCCTCATGCACCTGGATGTCAGTCATCTCCTGTCAGGATGATCCAAGACTCATCCCTGTGCTTTGACTCTCTAGTGTCTGCCTTGCTTTGCCAAGGCAGAAAACTCTTGAGGCATTTTGAACTTCCCAAGTGAGCATCCTCTTCAACAACAACATAAACCTGCCACCCTCCCACTGAAGGGAACGCAGTGAGTGCTCTTGGGTTACAGACATGTCACACAGATGTGAAATCAAAATCCATCTTTCACACAACCTAGTTGTTATGATCTGTTTTGTCAAACACTCACTATGAGTAAATTGCCTTCTGCTTTCTTAGCTTCTTCTGAGATATGCTATCTAAGCCCATGGCATTCAGCAGCAAAGAAGGAACAAACCCCAAACGTAAAACAATAATTAATCTTAAACACACTGATTTTTATAAGGAAATTCTCAATATATTGAAAAGGTCCCATGACAATAACAATATTTACAGGTTTTACCTTCACTTTTCAAATCTTACCTTGATTTGATTACTTTCTCTTCAGAAGACATAAACTATTCTTGGATAAAGACTAACGGTGTCTTTTAATTGTAGAATTGTAGAATACCAGGTTGGAAGGGACCTCAAGGATCATCTCGTTCAACTGTTCTAGGCAAAGCACCCTGTCCAGCTGAGCTTACAAGTGTTCAATGCTGGAGAATCCACCACTCCCCTGGGGAGATTATTCCAATGGCTGATTGTTCTCACTGTAAAAAATTTTCCTCTTGTGTCCAGTTGAAATCTCCCCAGGAGTAACTTGTACCCAACACCCCCTGTCTTTTCCATGTGACTCCTTGTAAAAAAGGAGTCTCTATCTTCTTTTTAGCCACCCTTCAGTTACTGGAACATGGGATAAGGTTTCCCCTGAGCCTTCTTTTCTCAAGTCGGAACAAACCCAGCTCTCTCAGCCTTAAAGTGCATAGATATCAAACTGCAGAACAGCAAGTTAGATGTATGAAAGTCTGTGCCTCTATATGCGCTAATTGCCAGGTCATTCTCATTAGCAGCACATGCTGACAACGCCTGAATGCAGCATTTCAGTGTGCAGAATTATGATGCAATGGGCAGCTTCCAAGAGCACAGCTGAGTGTCACCCACTGCTGAACCCCCCCAAAGCCTACACTAATAAACCACCAGTATTTGTCTGTTTAAAAATACAGACTGGTCTTTTTCATGCTAGAAAATCATCCTGGGAGAAGAAAACATACTTAAGATTCCTTCAGTGACTCTTGGGTTTTGTTTCAGTGCAAAATATAGACATCCTGATGGATTGTAATTAAAAGCTGTTGTGACAAAATTAAAGACATACTGTACAGAGCTTTATTCTTACATAAGGAATGCAAAATGGTATTGGGTAATTCACTGCTAAAGGTATCTGGGAAGGAGATATTAAATGTGGAAATAGTTAATGGATTGCTACATTCATTGCAAACTAAAACACATCTTTGACATGCGTATTTTGCACTGTTTTTCTCAGCAGCCAGCTGTTTTCATGCTTACAAAATGCACTGTTGTTGCATTAGGCAAAATTGACACGTGGTATTTCAAGGCAAAGGTATCATGTCTATTTAAAGCTTTTTAAGACCTTGTAGTTAGAAGAAAAACAGTACTCTAAAACCTCCCCTGCATATTTAGTCTTCTTACTTACAAAAAGTGGCTTTTGCGAGACCATGTGATTTTGTAATACTGATGTGAACACTGGCATTAATCCAATAAAGCCTTTGTCTTGAAAGGCTTGTGACAGCACTTACGCAAAAGGAGGAGTTTGAAAAACTCAAAAATTGTTTTGTCAAAAAGTAGGTATAGATGTGGCCATCATATATGGGTACAGACCCTAAATGCGGCATGGCAGACTTGAAAGTCTTATAGAATCACAGAATGGTTTGGACTTGAAGGGACCTTAAAGGCCATCTAGTTCCAACCCCCTGCCATGGGCAGGGACACCTTCCATGACATGGTCCTACCATTCCATAAGCTAACAAAGATTGCTCCATGTCCACTGATTTCAGCACATGCTACTTATACAGCTGTAGCTCACAGAAAGCACCAAAGGCTGCACTGACAATGTGTAGTTATGCAATTCCTTTTGTTCTAAACATCTCGATTTGAAAAATGTAAATAATTTTTTTTTTAATATGAATTTTGACCACTCTGAGCTGTCAAAAAACCCACCAAAGTTGTTTTTACACAACTAAGAGTAAACCCCCAAATTTCTGCCACATACCACATAGAACGTCAATGGATTGTAGTGACTTGTATTTGTCACTGAAATGATCTGCACCTTTCTGACTCAGAGCCTGATATCGGATGTGTACTAAATTATTTGGAAAGCATTTTTGAGTGTTAAGTTCTTATTTATTATGAAACTGCTCCCCAGGGCATGTTCTTTTGTACTGCCTTGTCACGGGGTGTGGGCTTGACACTTGACACGCTTACCAAGTCAGGTACACACCGCCACAGTGATACGTGGAACAACCTTCACCTTGGAGTTCAGGACTGTTTGCCCTTAACAGTTAATCTATATAGATAAATAAAGAAACTTTCTGCTTAATTTGTTCATTTGTTTATGAACAAGAACTTGCAGAAGTCCCCAGCTAAGAGAATGTTTTTTATATCGTATTAATATAAATGCACTTAGGATTTAATGCCCAAATTTATGAAGATGTTGAGCCTATATTAAACCCCAGAAATAGAATCATAGAATAGAATCATAGAATAGTTAGGGTTGGAAAGGACCTTAAGATCATTCAGTTCCAACCACCCTGCCATGGGCAGGGACACCTCACACTAAATCATGTCACCCAAGGCTCTGTCCAACCTGTCCTTGAACACCACCAGGGATGGAGCATTCACAACTTCCCTGGGCAACCCATTCTAGTGCCTCACCACCCTAACAGTAAAGAATAGGGGTTTTCTTCGATTTATATATATATAACTGAAGTGAATTCAGTAGAGGTGAGCTTGTGTTACAAAGTTGAATCGGGTTTATTATTCCTCACTTGAAACTCTGTAGTGCAAACTGCCAAATTAGAAACCTCCAGTAGGTGTCATCTTCCTACATCTTGTACACAGGAGAGTTTTGATTCTTTTTATTAAATTTAAATGAAATGAAGGACTCTTAAACACTGCCACAAGTTTTCTGAAGAACAAGTGTAAAGAAATATATTCGATTGAGCTGATATGCTCCACTAGCACTAGAATTTCTGGTATGTTTGCAACCTGGAACTGCTTATGCCCAAAATAATTTGCAGATACCCATGACTGTACTTACATGCCTAAATAACATCTGTAAAATATGCTTGTAAATGCACGTATTTAGACCTGAAAAGCCCTTTAATGGATTCCATTTACTCCACATGTCCTTGAAGCGATATAAATATGTATTACAGCATCACCTCTGATCCTGAAGCTTACCAAAACAGATGTAAGATCCCCTTTACTGACAAGGATATTAAATGAAGTTGAACGGGGCTCGGGAGGACAGGGAATTAAAGTACCCAGATCTGCTTGATTTACAGCTCCTTTAATTTCAAACCAAATACTTTTATTTATATCCAGCATCTTATACTTGATTGAGGAGTAAAATTATTCAGGCAAGTCTGAATCACTGTGATTCAGGTATCTTCAAATCTAAGTCAAACAAGCACTTTTGACATTTTAAACCCTAACCTCTGTTATTTAGCATGGGGATACTTACTAGGTCAGAGTTATGCCTTTCAGCATGTGATTACACTTTGTCCATGGGTTTTGTAATACAATCCTTTAGCAATCCGGCAACATTTCTGGCTTTGTTAGAGCAGGACATTGCTGAGGACAGTTCCTGTGCAATGCTGCTGTTGGCGATCCAAAATCCTCTGAGCACAATAGGACTCCCAAGGGCTTAAGCCATGGACTACCGAGGCTGATGAGAGGGCTGAGCTGCGGCAGGTGGAGCTGGTGCGGACACTGGCACAGGCCAGCAGGGCAGATGCCAACAGGCACACGACAGGGGTGGCCTGAAGCGGGGTTTGATCTGCCCAAGTGATGGGGTGCAAAATGCCCTTTTGGGATGGACTAACGTTGCTTACACGTGTGCATTTAATTTGTTTTTTAATATACTTTTTATATCAAGTCAGCCTTAAGTTTCTGATAGTCCCTGTGTCTTCTGTGAAGATGCATGAGGGAGGAAACAGGTTTTAGAGGAAAATACCTTTCTTCCCCACACGATACCGGCCTATGGCCATGCGCTTAGCAAGAGCACTTTTGCCTCACACCCGCCAGGACAGGACGCTCCACTCACCCCTCCCTCATTAACCGCTCATTACTGTCCCAGGCGAACGCCTCACTGCGCGGCGGGGCAGGATTTACCTCAGCGCTCCCGCAGGCCTCGGGGCGGGATCCCTGAGGTGAACGGGCGGGGGGAACCCGCGGCGGGACAAACAACGCCCCGGAATGAGGAGGAAAGGGTTCTTTGTGCTGGAGAAGTCGTAGGAACGTGATGGAGGGGCCGGTGGGTGTGTTTTATGTGGTGGCAGATGGTGCCTGCTCTTCCCCTCCGCTCCCGCAGACACGCCCGAGGGCAAGCGCGGAACTCCCAGGCAGCACCCGCCGCCACCGGGCAGGCCACGGGGCCGCCGCACGTCTGGGCCCAGGGGCGGAGCCGCGCATGCGACGCCCGCGCGGCCCTGCCCCGCCCCCGGGGCCCGGCTGGGGCCGGCGCTGCCGAGGGAGCGCAGAGGAACATGGAGGCGGCGGCGGCGCGGCGGGGGGCCCGGGCAGTGGGCGCGGGGCGGTAGCGAGCGCTGCAGCCTCCCCTCCCCACGCAGCCACCTCTCCGCTCCCTACGAGGCGGGAGAAAGGGGGCTGCGTGCCCCCTTCGCAGGGGATGGCGGCCTCGGGCCCTCCGCAGCTTCCGTGGCTGCGGCTGGGCCCGCGGCTGCGGGCCGGGCTGGAGGTCGCGCTGCGGGTGCCCAGCCTGTTCCTCATCGACGCCATCTTCAACTCGTCCCCGCTGCCGGGGGGTTCCCTGTGCGCCGCGCTCCTGGGCGTGCTGCTGCGGCTCCTGGGTGAGACACCTTCCCCTCCCGCCCCGCCGCCCTTCGCCGCCGGCCGGGCGCTGGGGGTGGGCACCCCGCCGGGCCTGGGCCCGGGCCCTCCTCGCTGCCCGCATTATTTACGGCCGCAGGCGGGGCGCGACGCCGCTTCCCTCCCCCGTCCCCTCAGCCCACCGCCCTGTAGCGGGCTGCTCTCACGGCCTGCCTTCCCCCCACCCCAGCCCGGCTCCGTTCCCCTGCCCTGGGCTCCCCCAAGTCCCCGCTCGCGTGGATCCTGTCCCTGAGCCCCGCTCGGTGTCCGTTTGCCCACCCCGCCTCCGTCCCCCGAGTCCCGGCGCGGGGCCGGCTCCTCCTGCCTGCTGCTCCCCCCCTGCCCCACCCCCCGGTGGCGTTGTCGCTGTCGGGAGGCGCAGGGAGCCGGCGGAGCAGAGCCGCGGGCTGCGGCCGTTGACGGGAGGGCTCCGCTCGCCATGTGCGCGAGGAGTGGGGGCCGTGAGTCCCCCCTGCGGGCTTCCGCGGCGGAAAACGTGGGGCGCCGGGGCTGTAGGGTTTTGTTTGTTTGTTTGTTTTCGAGCACGTTGTGGTATCTCCTGCAATCACGCTGTTAAACACTTACGGTGGGAGCAGCAGTTCAGAAATGCCGGGTATTTGTTTACCGAATGAAAACGAAGTCTTTTAAACTTGCTCATGGTTATCTTTAATAGCATGGGATGAAGGTTGAAAATCACTGGTGTAACTAGGTGGTACTCTTTCGGTATTGTTATCTTGGGCTCTTGCATAGATTCGGTTCTGTGAACTGCTGTAGAGGTGATGCTGCGTTGGATTATCACGTCTGGAGCTGGGAATGCTGAAGCAGAAAGGAAAGGAGAATAGAAAACACAGCAAGAGCTTTTTGCAGGCCTGTGGCATGATGATTCTGTGTTTTGTTTGGTGTTTAATAATCGGAAAGGAAATAGGTGGTATGGCTGTTGGGATAGGCAGTGGAGAAGAGTGGTTGAAAGGGAGGGTGCACAGTGAGAAGGCAGCGGTGATGGCATTGTAGAACCTGAGGCGTAGAAGGCAAGAAGTAAAGGATAACCTGCCCCAAGACAGCATTGAGAGTGGAGGGAGAAGAAAGCAGCAAAGCAGATGCTTAATTTGGGCAGCTTCCCCTTTGGCAGTGGGAGCCTGGGAAATGGCTGCTTGGTGAGACGTGAGGTTAAGCAGGTCTTGCCTCACCTTTGCCTGGCCTGGCAGCTGATACCCACAGCCCTGTGACCACAGGGAGGAGGAGGAGGTGCTGTCTCCCAGCTTCCCATTTTCTTGACCCTTTGTTCCAAAGGTTGGGAATTGTGAAGAGTGCTTCCCATTGATAATTCCGTTTAAAAACCTGACACTGCAGTGCCTCACCAACTTAATTTAGGAGTTCCTTATTGTATTGAGATGCTTTTTTTTTTTTAATTTCAAGGAAGTGCCTTGAAATTAATCCCATGTAAATAAGAATGGTGGATATATTACCTGATGGTCTCAAATGTGTGATACTGGGATCAACAGGTTAAGGTGCTTTTCAGGATTGCAGTGGAAGGGTTTGGGAGAAGTGGGTAATCCCTGCCTCCTGCAAAAGATCTTTGGGAACAGTTTATGCCAAGGGGCTTATCTTGTACTTTGAGACAAGTGGTCTGTGGTTCTTGGCTTTCTGAAATTAAAGAGAAATTAAGCGTAACTGCTTAAAGATGGTGTTCCTTCCATGTGGTTCAGACAACAGGGTGCTTTTGCATCTATTTTTTCCTCATTTGAATTCAAGGATTACAGGGTTGGGGTTTTGCTGCTGTTGGGATAAACGGAAATATTTATTTTGGATCACTCTGTATTTAAATAGTGAGGAAGTTGCCCTTTTAGTTACCATTTGTAGGCTTTGAAAGACTGATTCCCTATCTTCCCTGTAGCACAGTATTAGGATGAACACAGTTTGCTCTCTAGATAGAAAGATTGTAGCTCCGTAGATATCAATAGCTTTCAGGGGTGATACTGAACAAGTGCTGAAACACTCTGGGAGTAGAGCTCTCCAGGAGTGGGAACAGAGATTGGGATGGTTCTGAAGAAGTTTTACTGCAGGATTCCTCAGTCTCGTTCTTCCCTCACTTATTTTCTACACAAATACATGGAGTTACACGTGGCACAGAACCAACATCTCCAACTGGAGCACAGTTCTTTAATCTCATTAACCTTGCTTTGTCTCCAACACAATGTTTACCTTTCATATCTTGGCATGGGTGTTTTAACTCCCATTCCAGCAGAACTGTGACCCCCAGGAGGTGAAACTGGCATTCAGGCAGGAGTCCCTCCTCAGCAGGGACGCAGAAAGGGTTACTGTAAATACTGGAGTCTGTAGAAAGATGTGGGAGCAAGTGGAATGGCTGGGGCTAGGGGAAACGTAATTTGGCAGTTCCACACCCTTAAAATACTGGTGTGTAAAGGTAGTTGAACCCTGCAACTGACTGAAAGTTGCATCCTCAGCAGTGTGTTACTATAAAGACACTGATGAGTGGCAGGAATTAAAGGGGAAAAAAATGATGGGCAAGAATTCATTGTAACACTGGAAATGGGTTAAAAGGAATTGCTCATGGTTTGATTAACTGCTGTGTTAGAGGCCATACCAGAGACAATTGGTGATGGGGTCGCACAGTGAAGGTGAGCAGCAGTATATACAGAAACATGAGACAACTCTTACCAAGGGAGGAACTGCAGCATTTTCCATCAGAGGGAAAGTGGGAAAAGATGGGCTGCTTGGTGAGCACTTTGCAGGGCAGGGGGAAGCCTTCTCATGGCAAGATGGACTGAATGACATGGAGACAAGGGAGAGGAGAGCTCACCTCTTTCTGAGATTTCAGTTACCTCCTGTGGTCTTCTGAGGTTCCTTTGGGTTGTCTTGACTTTTCCACGCAAGTGTTGGCAGCAAAATGCTCCACCTTGTTAGTTCCTCTTCAGAGGAACCAGTAGGCCTAACTCTGCTGTTGACTTGTAGTACTGTGTTTAGGGCTGTCTTGCAAGTGAAATGGTTGTTTTGAGATGACCTGTAGTGCCTAAACACAGGCCTGCCTGCTACTGAAACTGCAGGGAAGATAACTAGGATTTGTTAACAGGCGTGTTTGAGAGCAGCCTGCTCAGTGCAAAATGCATCTCCTTTCCCTCAAATGAGCAGAACTGGGTAAATAAGGAGCTAGTTTCTGTGCCTGCCAGGAAAGGACAGAGGGCACTGACATATCTGGAGTGTTCATTTCCCAAAGGTGTGTGTGTGGCGTGCAGAAGGCAGTGAAACTGTCCAGCTGATGTTAAAACAAGTGCTGTATGTAAGGCATGAATATTCAGGGGGTTTTGTGGCAGAGCTGAACTACAATACAAGGTACTTTCTGGAAACTGACTGTGGCTTTTCCTCAGTTCACTGCACAGGGTTACCAGGTTAATGATTAGTTAAGGAGAGTATTTTTGTATCGACCAGTGCTGCTGGCAGGGAATACTGTAAAAGTGCATTCATAACTTCTTCTGTAGTCTGCCTTTTGCATTGACCCTCTCCCGTCTCATTCAGTCCTCCAGGGTGTTGGTTGTATTATTGTTTTTATGCAAGCAGCTGGCAACACTACTGGTGGAATCAAATGCTGGGTCTGAGCAGAGTTTTTCATTCCCATGATCTTAAAATCCCATGGCTTACAATATATTTTTAAACACTTGATTATGAAGGATTTGGAACAATCTAAAATACAGTCATCAGAAAAGACTGATGATGGCCTCCAGTAGAATTACTTGTGATTTCATTTGTTTCCATGTGGAAATTGAAAGAAACTTAGCAAGTTGTAGAGGTCAAAATCTCCCCAAACTGATTTGGATGAGAAAGCAGTTGCAGTGACTGGAAGCTGACTGAGAAGCCAAAACCAAAAGCAATGTGTTTTCTGAAGGTGATGTTTAAGGAAGTGAATGTAGCGGAGTTCCATTTAATGTAACACCTGATAGGGCAGAGCCTTTACGGATGTGGTACATAGTGATGATGTTCATAAGGAGTTTGCTGCAAGGACATAAATAGAACACAAAAGTACTATAGATGCTATGATAGGATTTCTCATAGGAAGGCACAGACTTCCCAGTCATGGCCAAGATGTGCTCATGGTCAGTGTGAGGGAAAGGTGAGCAAACAGGAATTTCAGGCTCTGAACCTGATGTCTGACAAGGAGGATGCAAGTTCACACTGGCAGGGGCAGCAGGGGCAGGTTTGGATTCTGTGTACAAAAACTTGTACTACAGAAGGTCTTCTCTCTGAAGACTCTGTTTCATGATATCTCATCAGGACTGAAAGCAAACTGAAGGGAACTGGAAGAGCAACGTCTTCCCCCAGTAAACTACAGCGAGTTTTGACTATTTTCCCATTAGGGTTAAGCTAAGCTGGTGACTTACCTTTAGTACTCCAGCTTGGATATCTATAGTTGAGCGCTTTGCTCAAGTGAATTGGAGGATTTACTATTTTATTCATTCCTTATTAATTTTGCCTCTAATGTGGTAATTCTTTTCTGCTTTTAGAACTTAACTACCCTTAGACTTCAAGGCTGAGGCTGAAGGGGTGGGAGCTGTTGCTGCTCTGGTCCGAGACTGCAGATGACCTTAATAAGTGATTGTGATTTACTGCTTGCATTGCTTTGCACTGCAGCTGCAGGGAACAGGCATATTAAATGCAGAGCTGAAGTCATCTTCTGGAAAGGATGTCTGTTCTGAAAGGATGAAAGTTGTTCTGGAAAGGGCCCCATTGGTAATGCAAAGTTATGAGTGACTAATGGGGAAGTGATACATGAAATTAATGTAGCTCCAAAGCTCATAGGTTACAATCTGGTGTTGAATTTCTGCTGAGAACTAAATGACTTCAATGTGTTTTTAGGTGTCTTTGTCTCCAGTGTTGTTCTGGTCTTACAACAGCGAGCACTTTTCAAGTTTTATATGATCGCCTCGGCATTCCTGCTGGCTGCAACTTCAGTGTTGGTGAATTACTATGCTGCTTTGCACATAAACTTCTACAGTGCCTACTACACAGCTGCATTTGGAATCCAGATCTTCCCTCATAAAGGACCTTCGCTATGGATGGCGCTTTCCATCCTTCAGCTGACCTTTGGAATTGGGTATGTTACACTGCTGAACGTGCAGTCCATATACTCTCAACTCATCATCCTGGATATACTGATTCCTGTCATTGGCTTGATTGTTGAATTACCTTTAAATGTCCGGCAGATACTAGTTTTTATTTCAGGCCTGGTTCTGACACTAAACACCACAGCCATTTTGGTGATGAAAATTAAATGGTTCTATTACTCGGTGCGCTACGTTTATCTGCTGGTGAGACACATGTATCGCATTTACGGATTACAGCTCTTGATGGAGGATACATGGAAAAGGATTCGGTTTCCAGCTGTACTGCGTGTCTTCTGGCTAACGAGACTTACAGCCCAGGCTGTGGTATTAACATATGTTGTAAAGATGGCTGAAACTAATACAGAAGAGAAATTCTTCTTGATATCGTGGGATAACTGCTGGGAACTGCTCTGCAGCCTGATCATAAGTGGGTGTGACTCCACTTTAACTGTGTTAGGCATGAGCGCCGTCATCTCCTCCATCGCGCATTACCTGGGGCTCGGCATCTTGGCCTTCATCGGCTCCACTGACGAGGATGACAAAAGGCTGGGGTTTGTAGCGCCCGTCCTGTTTTTCATCTTGGCTCTGCAGACCGGTTTGAGTGGACTGAAACCAGAAGAACGGTTGGTGCGCCTGAGTAGAAACATGTGCCTTTTGTTGACCGCAGTCCTGCATTTTATCCATGGGATGACAGACCCTGTGCTGATGTCTCTCAGTGCCTCCCACGTGTCGTCGTTTCGCAGACACTTCCCTGTCCTGTTGGTTTCCGCTTGCCTTTTCATCCTCCCAGTTCTGCTCAGTTACATCCTCTGGCACCACTATGCACTAAACACATGGCTTTTTGCCGTGACGGCATTCTGTGTCGAGCTCTGCCTCAAAGTAATAGTTTCTATTACTGTTTATATATTGTTTATGATTGATGGCTACTATAATGTGCTATGGGAAAAACTTGATGATTATGTCTATTACGTTCGGTCAACTGGCAATATTATTGAGTTTATCTTTGGAGTGGTCATGTTTGGGAATGGAGCTTACACAATGGTATTTGAGTCAGGCAGCAAGATCCGCGCTTGCATGATGTGTCTACACGCGTACTTCAACATCTACCTGCAAGCAAAGAATGGCTGGAAGACGTTTATAAACCGCCGGACTGCTGTGAAGAAAATAAACTCGCTTCCAGAGGTAAAAGGAAGTCGGTTACATGAAATAGATGATGTCTGTGCAATCTGCTACCATGAGTTCACCACCTCTGCTCGCATTACTCCATGCAACCATTACTTTCATGCACTTTGTCTTCGGAAGTGGCTGTACATCCAGGACACTTGCCCCATGTGCCATCAGAAAGTGTACATTGAGGACAAGGAAAACACCAGTGTTTCCAACAACAATGGGTTTGTGGCACCCAATGAAAACCCTGTAGAAGCTGCAGAAGAAGCTGCTGATGCTGAAAATGAAGTAAATGAAGATAACGACAGTTCTGACAGTGAAGAGGAAGACAGTGACTGTGTGGCACAGCAGTCGACTGAGACTCTGAATGCTGACTCAGACTCTCTTGGTGAATAATGCCCTTTACAAAGCCGTAAGGTATTTGTTTAAAGCTGACTTCCAACAATAAAAGTATCACTTTGTAGTTATTGTACTTAAGCACAACAGCAGTATCTCAGTGTTGAGTCTGTGAACAGTGGTGGTTTACTGTGGTGTGTGCTACTGTAAATATACCTCTGATTTTTGCTGGTCTCTTTCATGGCCACCTGAAAATTATGTACATTATTGTACATGGAATAAAACATTTTCACATGTTTTTAAGATGGTTGGAAAACTACTCTTTAATTGATGTAGTGACAATGCTGTGCCAAAGACTGTATCCCAGTAATCCCCCATCAATGAGTTCTGGATGCAAATCAGAAATACTGGTGAAAACAGACTTGAGCAGGTCAAATCAGTAATGAAAAGCCTGAGCCAAAGCAGCTTTACTTACAGACTCAGTATTAGCAGAGCTTTAGTGCTAAAAACTAGTGAGTTGTATTTAAAATAAGTAAAAATTTAGGTTGGTAAGTGTAATGTTATAGCACCTGTGTGTGTGGTGGAACAACAGGTGAAACTGCAATAAGCTTTCTGGTGAAGTAGCACAGCATGCCAGCCATGTGTTAAACACTGCTGAATTTACTACCAGTAACAGCTTGAAGTGCTCTACATGTGAATGCAGCAGCCTGGTATTCATCTTTCAGTGTCTACAGGTGTTAGCAGGGGTTGCTTGTTTGGGCTGTCCTTGAAATCAATCCTCAATCTTGCTGAAAAGGAAACAGGGCTGAGAAACTGCACCAATGCAGAGACCACCTTTTCAAAAGCAGCTTTAATCTTGTACCATAGGGAAAAAAATAAAGCTACATACTGGCTTCCATTGATAAGAATTTGCAGGTAGGATAATTTTTAAGGTTTTGCAATATACTTAGTAAAGTTATACTGAATAAATGTAAGAAAAACAACTTTATATATTTGGAAAGAAGACTTTAATAGTGTTGTTATATAGAGTATTGGCCAACTCAAGCGGGTCATCTTCTCTTACTGCCGCCATTATTTCCAGTATTTGACTAAAAAAGAAAAGATTGGTATTAGAAGACTGACACTCAGACCTGAACATACTGGAGAGTGCTGCATGTGTATGTACAAGTCACTTAGATTAACCTGGAATACAAACCTATGCTGAGAGAAACAGGGCAGGGGCTCAGCTATGCAAACAGCTTCACTTCCAAGTCACTAACTGCCCTTTCCTTCACACTGAACACTGTTTGCGCACTGGTACAGACTCAACTTTGGTCTTTTGACTTGTTTGGAGGTAATTAAACGGCTTTCTGGTTCAAAGAGAGTGTCATTTTGTGGGTGTCTTTATCAATGGTCTTCATTTTTCAGACTGAAACCCAGAAGCCTTTCAAGGCTATGGCTGTGCTATGAATTAACTGGTCTGTGGCAAAGCTTAAACTCCAACTACAGCCCTACCTGAGAGCAGAGCTGCCAAAGGGACTTATTTGCTACTTCCCCCTTCTCCAGCTTAACTGTGATTAACACATTCAGATACTTGCAGTCAATGTTAAATGAGCAAATTTAGAAGGCCTGTAGCCTTGAAACAAGCTAGGGAAAGGAGGCAAGAAAAATGGGATGAATAATATTAATACCAGGCAACAGAAAACCAAGCCACGCTTCTTCCTCTGTGCTTATTTTCTTGATTTTGTATCACTCTGAAGAAAATGAATATTCTGAACAGTTCCTAAGATGTGTTGAACTTTATTATGCTTTCTAGTAGTGGTGAAGAGAGTAAGCAGCTCAAGCTTGGTAGTAGGGCTTGGTACTTTGGGATCTTGCCGATCCTTTTGAGGAAGACTAATGGAAAAAGTTGCTCTTAGCAATTACTATATGCAAGTACTTTCTTCTGTGCAGACTTAGCCCATTTCATTGACCCCTCCCATGCTTTGCAACCAAACAGCTTCTTGATTTATGGGGATGCTCCATATGATACAGGGTGATATCTGGCCTACACAGAAATAAGCAACAGAGACCAAAGAATTTGCCCTTGAAGAGCTTTCATAGAGCTTTCATAATTAGCCCCACTAGGATGCACGAGGATGCTGTACGTTACTGTATCACTGTAGATGAAATCACTAAAGCTAAAAAGCATCTTGAAAGCTTTTGTTTGTTTGTTTGCTTAATTTTAGCTGCAAGGGGAGTAGTGCAGTTCTAAAAATATATTAAAGATCAGAAATGAAAGGTGTCCAGCACCACCCAAAAAAGACAAGTGCAAAATTCCCCCCTGCCAGCTGAGCTATATCAAACAGCCTGTACACCCTAAACGTGAAATACCCTTTGTGGCCTGGGTCTGACTTTCCCTTCACGCCACATCTTCCTACTTGAGAAGCCACAAAACAGCAGTTCTCAGTTGCCATGCGTGATGTTTCCTAAGGTTGAAGAGTTTCTCAAGTCATTTAGTACAGGTTACAACTGACGTTAAAGGGGCAATCCTTTTTAAATCAGGGTGAACTAAAGATTTTGTTTTATAAAAGGCAGCAGAAGCCAATGCACAGCAGTTAGGTACTGCTGCAGGACAGCCTCCCTGCATTTCCAGCTCAGGGTTTCTGAAACACCCCGTTAGCTACAGCTGAGGCAGCAGACAAAGCCACAGAGTGGTGTTAGCACATACAGGCTCGACAAAACTCAACAGCAGCAGAGGCCCTCCCTCCACTTGTGGTCAGAAAAATGTTCTCAGCTGAATCTCTTCCCTGCTCCAAAATCATGGCCTGACCCTAGAAAGTCATAAAGCCCTTCTATGCAAATATGTATAAAACAACAATAAAGTCAGTTTTAAAGTTATTACAATCCAGGTAACTGCCTAAAGTGTATCTAAACACTAGGAGATGTCACTGTGTAAACTGTGCTTTTAGCATGATCAGTCGTCATCTGAGTTTCTTCAGGTCTCCCAAAAAAGCCACAGAATTCCCTTCAGTTCTGAACTAAACTTGTTTTGGAGACACCTTACTGAATACCTGGATTCTTTAGCACTATCCTAAGCAGTATTTCAGAAGCTAGTTCCAAATAGGCAACTTACACAGCTTTTTATAGAAAGACAATGAGACTTCACAGCAGTAAATCCCATTTCTGATCAAGTACATGGGCTTTGTTCCTGGGCAGGTGGAGCTGTGAGCTTCATCTGCTGCAAGTATATTCACGTACCACACCACAAGAAACTGTCCCGAGCTCCTTGTTGCAAGGAGCTGATGACTGAGCACATTGATACCATTCACTGACCTTAGAAACAGTTGTAAAATTCAGGCATTTCATCTACGGGTGCTATTTAGTGGAGAAAACTGACTGGTTTTGTTTTTCACACCTCAGTGAAGCAGCACATGAAAAGGCAGCAGCAGATGGTTTCTGTGCTTTGCAACTGCCCAAAACCCCTGGAGTTTTCTGCCGCTGTTCTGCACACTGACTGCTGTTACTCAGATCTGACCTTCGTGGGAGCAGTTCTTTTTAAGCACAGCGGCAGAATGAAGAGACAATCCTAACCACAAACCACGTTACAGCAATTCATGGCACGGCCACTGATGCCAGCACAGGCATCTGCACCGCTCACTGCCTCAGTACTGCCCCACTGCTCCAGTGCTGCTGGACTGGAACAATCACCAAGTGCAATGTTACTTCACAGGGTTTAACCCCTTCTCCGGTGTAGCAGTGAAAAGACAAAACCTCTGCTGGTTCCACTTTCAGGGAGCTTTTTACATCCAGAATTGCGGAAGTGGGAAAATTAAACACTTACAAATTTGTCCACAGCCCACAAAGCAACACTGGCCACAAGTTTCAGTACCTTTGGAATTCATTTCTCTTTACTACATTTCCAATGAGCTTGATTGACAGGACAAGGGGTAATGGGTTCAAGCTTAAACAGGGGAGATTTAGGTTGGATGTAAGGAAGAGATTCTTTTCTGTGAGGGTGGTGAGGGCCTGGCACAGGTTGCCCAGAGAAACTACAGCTGCTCCAACCCTGGCAAGAATGTTCAAGGCCAGGCTGGACAGGGCTTGGAGCAACCTGGTCTAGTGTGAGGTGTCCCTGCCCATGGCAGGGGGTTGGAACTGGATGATCTTAAGGTCCTTTCCAACCCAAATCATTCCATGATTCTGTGATTTTTTTCTACCCCCCCCCCCCTCCGAGATTTGATGTATTTTAAACACCAGTGCAGCAGTACACTTACATTATATGGCAGGGTTCATTTCTGTCCTTCAAGCAGTGCCCTACTTCCCATTTCTTTTTTGTAGGAAATGTAGTTTTAATGTATTTTGCTCCAGCATGAGTGTTCTTCACTCCACACCAAGGTGCATCTAGGTTCATGTGAGAAAAAATGATTAGAGTATGCAATCATTTGATAACAGCATGAGGCAGTTCAACCAACTACCAGTCTTCTTCTAGCAGTGACTTTCACTTCAAAATGGAACTGCAGAGATTTGAGCAGCTTAATTTCTCCACAATCTTTGGAACTGGTTTTGATTTTACATTTTACAAAATGACACTGATTTCCTCTGACATGATAAGGACAGCTCCATACACTACATGTGTTCCACACAAACTTCCTATATAACAGGTCTGTACTGCAGTAAGGATTTAGGCAGTTTGTGGTTTTCCTTTCTCAGCTACAGAAAACAAACACTGTATTTATAACTGCCAGTTACTGGTAACTGAAATGAACATGCCATGAAAGCCCCAAACACATCCCTAGTCAGTCAACTGAAATCACTGCTCATGAGGGCCAGAGGGGAATTCAAGTGTTCCTCCACCTTAACCCATTAAAAAGCAGTTGTTTCCACATGCCATTACTGCTACGTGTAGCGAGCTCGTAGCCACTGCCCTGTGCCTGGCACATCTCCAGCAAGCCAAATTTTCAGCTATCCAAGCAGGATTCTGGTCCCTGGGTTCATTAAAAACTCTGGGCTTGATGATTTGTCCTTTTCATCTTCCCCTGCAATGTCAGAACTGACACTGCAGCTCCTTCCTTCCAGCAGATGGCTGAAAAGGAATATTTCTGGAGCCTGTAAACTGCTTTCCCAAGTGGAGAAACAGCCAGTCCTGTTTCTGCTCCAAACTCCCTGGGTCTGGATTCTGCTTTATCATTGCTATACAAGCAAATCTCATTACCCAGCAGCGCTTAAGTCACAAACTGACCAAGATACAAAATCTTACCCGTCTCTATCATTAACCGCTCACTCGGAATTGATTTCAGTGTTTCCAAGTTGGCTTCTGTTTTCAGAGAACTAGGAAAGCAGAGTTTGGTTAATAAAATCAAACACAAAAAGCGTGCAAAAGTCCTTTGCCTGTTACAATGTTTTGCAGCAAAGGCAGCTCCCTAAATAATTCTGTTAGTGAATAAAATCTGATTTAAAGCGCTTCCTGTAAACTGAAACTTCCCAGGAAAAGGCAGATTTGGAGAGCTACAGACTGGGTGAAGCCGTCCCGCCGCAGGGAGCACACGCAGCCCCTGCCGGCACCGCCGGTACTTGGCACTCACTTCCAGCTAGCTGAGTGCTGAGAATGCAGATGAGGCTGTTCAGGTTACAGCCGCATTACTCCCAGGTTTGACAGGCAGCTTCAAATGACGCTGTTTTCTAAACACCTCTCGGAAGGACTATTTACAGGTTCGACAACCTTATTTATTTACAAACAAGAATTGACCCGAGGGCAGCAGAATGGACCCATGGCTAGATTAACTCGCTGAGCTGAGAGCATTTTATGGCTAACAGACTAATGAGTGGGATTCTAAATCTGTCAGATGATTAAAAGTCCAGCCAGCTCTGAAACCCTGACCTCATTGTCTAAAAGAAAGCAATGAGTTCACTGCTGCTGACATTTCAAAATGGCTTTATTTCTTGTGAAGAACTTACCAGCCATTTATTCCAATATAAAGATCCAAATCTATTATAGCTGCTGCTTCTTCCTTTGTGCCATCAAAGGAATGTACCTGGAATGGATATACACATATATACAATGTTTGTACTTCATTTAAACTCCAATCATTTAAAAGTACATGTTTGTTAGTTTTTATTTGTGTCATAAATACCTTTGATAGTATGTATGACACATAACACAAAGATGGGACATGGCTCAGCTGATTCTGAACTAGGCCTAAGTTCAGGCTGAAGGCACTTGAACACTACAGCAGCAGTGGCTACCAGAGTTTGTTAGTGATAAATAGGTGTAGAAAGGGCCTGTCCAGTGTTACCACTACTGGCCCAGAACTCCCATACCTGGGAGACCATACACAGGAAGTAGTCCCGTGCACACTGAATGTTTACGGTCTTCCCTCAGTATTCCCTACAGGGCACTGTAAGAGCAGTGTAACATTCTCCCCAGATTTGAGTCCACTGGAACTAGAGAGACAGTGTATTGGGGTATTCCAGGCACTGCAGAGCCAAGTGGTCAGTCACAAGGCACAAACAGCGTAACACAGCTGGGAACTGCAGCTTCGCAGCCTGAGTAGACGCTGTCAGCTCCCCCACGCTGACAAAGGGCAGTTCAGAGGCTCCTGCTCTTCACTTCTCCACTCATACAGGATTTGCAGGAGAAAAGGAAGGACAGACTGCACAGTGTTACCCAAAAGGATACACAGTACTTGGCAAGGGGATGGAAGTGGCTTGTGGTGACAAAGGGGAAACCTGAGATACTGCTGTGGGAGGCATGATGGCAGTAGATTAGATACAATAATCCAAGCATTTACTGCTTTTAGAAAACCCTGCCATAAGGGAAAGCTGAAAGAACATTGCTGGCCTTTCCTAACCATTTAATCCAAAGTTTTTCCTGTTATGCTTTTGAATTAAAACACACTGTCTGAATATCTAAAGACATAAAGTAATCAAAAGTTACATCTGGATCCAATTTGAAAACAATGTCTAATGTCAGAAGCAAATGTTTGAGGTTATGGCTTCCACAGGGAACATGCAACTAAATTATCTGTGGTCTGAATGCACTGCAATTGCAGATGCTGAGGAGTTGGGACAAGGCCAATGTCAATTATAAGGTGCTTAAACTGTCCTTCTGACAGGCCAAGAAAAACTCATGTCAGCTGCAGGGCTTTTTCTCAGCCTATCTTCTTACCTTGCAAAAAGAGCTGTTGAATAAGCCATGACAATAAAATTACTAGAAGGGACTGGAAAATACTTATTAACTAATAATAACTTAAACCATGTAACAGGAAGCCTGCCCAGATTCCATGACAAACAAGAATCTGCATATTAAGCAACAATATTCACACACATGCATGTAAAAATGGATGCTCTGGTGAAGGCCGTACTTACCACCCCTCCCACAAATCTATCTCTGTTTCTTCTCATTATGTCTATGAAATGAAATAAATACAAACATAAGACAGCTTTAACACAGACAAAGGTGAAAAATTCAGGTTTCCCAGCTCTTCAGAATTTGTTCTGAATATAAAATTCTCAAGGAAAACTCACCTAAGAATTCAGTGTGTGAGTTTCTACAGTGGAGAAACATGGGCAGTTGTGTCTGCTCTGACAGGTCAAACTGCTTTTCAAAATACCTGTAAAATAAAAATCACCTTTAAGAGCAAATAACAATAGTGGAAGAGTTTTCTCCAGCTTTTGCCCTCCAGAACTAAAGACAGAATGAATGGATTTGCCGTGCCAAAGCTCTAATTTGTGCAGGGACTTGAAAGGAGCTCTTTCTCATGGTGCAGTCACATATCAGTGCTGGAAGACAGATAAGGTGGCTGAGAGCATCAATACCGAAGGATGCACATGTGTGCTGAGCATGTACTCTTGCAGTCTGGGTGCTGGAGTCTGGGCTTACTTATTTTTAATGAACAAGGAACTGACTGTTCTGTCCACAAAGTTTGGAAATGTCAGGATTGGGAGAGCATGGATCACACAGAGAACAGTATTTCAACAAGCATTTGTAAATGGGGCGAGGGTGCGTGAGGGAGAACCACACAGACTTCTATAGCCTCAGACAGCTCACACTGCATCGAGGCTGGCTGGGCTGTACAGTAGCAGGCTGCAGTTTCTGTCTGCCCTTCCATGGGGACAAACAGATGAAGTCTGTGCTCTCTTGGGGTAAAACAAATACCAGTATTAGCCATCTTACTTCTGCCCCATTCTGCCTGTCTTCACTCTTGCACTCTTCCTGTTTTCCCTCCTCTGTGTATCTGCATCCTTTCCTTTCCACTCCATTCTGTTTCTCTCCTACTTTCTATTCCTATTTGAATATTGCCTTTGAAGGAGTGGTAGCAGCGAGGCAGCCATCCTATGAGGAGACATTAAAATGTGGGCAGAGGAAAGTAACTTGGTGGCCAGCTTCCTCAGGCAGTTTCCAAAGGAAGCCAGCTAGCACTGAACTAAACCGTCATTTGTCATTTGCAGGTAGCTCTGCTTGAAGCACATTATCATTGACAGAGCCTGTCTGCCCTGGCATGCAAATTACCAACGCTCAGAAACACAGCAGAGGAACTTGTGTGTGGCACAAGGCCACAGTGCACAGGTGACTCAAACCATACTTAATTTGAGAGATGACATTATGTGGGCAGAACAACACTGCCTGTCCCAACAGGCCAGGACACTATGCACCTATGGGTGTTGCTGTTAAAAGCAGTCCAGGACACGGGGATCAGTCACATTCCACTGACAAACTCAAACATCTACAACACTGCAGTGTACAATTCACATGTCAGTCAGGAGGGAGCGGCAGCAAAACATCAGTTTGATTCAAATTTTCCTTAAGGAAAAGGACAATGTGGTTTGTTCTGTGGAAATTTCATTAATTTGTGTATTGCAGGTTCCAGTTTCTCTGCGTTGTTACCTGCCCTGTTCACCAGTGCAGATCTTTGTGATAAAACAGATAGAACAAATTGGCTGTAACCTTCAAAACTGACATGAGAATTCAGAAGAATAAATCACACCTACTTTGAATCTTCTTTGTCTAGACACTGTGCTTAGTTCAGCTTCTTTGACTAAATATAAATGTAATTTGCAACCCATGATTGCTCTTGCGGTTAAATAGCTACAATTGCCCGATTATTGGTGGGGTTTTTAAACAGAAGACATTTTTCATATGGAAATTAGGTTTCAGAAACTGAGCTGCAAATAAAACCCCCATGTAACCTATTTGCTATACGGCAGTGGTCTTGAAAGTACAAAGTTTAGTGCCCTACAAACGCAAAGGCAAATCGGGCTTCTTCCATTCCTAGCAAAAATGAAACTATAAGAGAAAAAGAGGGGGGGAACCCAAGAGAAACCCTATAAAAGCATAAAACCCCCAGACATAGGGTGATCAGAATGGTAACAGAGTAACAAAAGAAACCAAAGAAACTACTTACAAAAGTAACTAAAAGAAACTTGGAAACTAAACCTTAGTAGTTCCAGTGCTTGAGGAGCAACCTTTTCTCTTTGGATGAGCAAGTGTTATTCAGTGCCTGCTGGTTCTGTATTGGTTCTCAATAAGGAAGCTTGAAACATTTCTGTATGGCTTTTTGCAGGTTTAGTGTTGACCATCATGTTCCAATGGTGTGGTATTTTCAGATTTGGGATCAAGGCACTGAAGGAGCTGAAGCAAACTGGCCTTGCTGAGGTAGATCTCCATACAAACCATCCTGGATTCATGGATGAAGAGCAGTGCACGTGACATTGCTCACGCCCTCCAATTTGGTTAAGAAAACTCCCATTTCTGTGCTGCTACGCCCCACAAAGCCCTCCTGGGAGTACAGCAGATGTGAAACTTCTCTATACTTACCAGTCCATTTATAATGTGACCTTCACCATAACATAAAGGCAGTAACTTCCTCTAACTACCATTCAAATCACTATTGTTTGTTGGAAAAGTTATGAGAACGGAGAAGAATTCTGAGAAAGAAAAGTTCTTTGGGCTGCTTCAACAAAGGAATTTCATCTTTATTTGCTTCTCATCTTTATTAATTTTAAATCCAAGAAAAAGGAAAAAAAAATCTTCACAGGTGAAAATTATCAGAAGAAAATACAGAGTAACTAGAAAATAATGATTAACCATTAAACAGATATCCTGGGTTCAGCATCTGGGCCATGCCCAGATACCACTCACAGGGAAACTGCCATACCTCTCTCCTAGATAGCTGCCTGCTGCCTACCTCAGCAACTGCTACCCCTGAATGATGGACCAGCTGGAAACAGTGAACTGCCTCCATGCACTGCATACTTCACCTTCCTTATTTTAGCTGATTTATCAAGCCTATATTGAATCTCAATTTGAAGAACTCACCATGAGTCATGAAAGCCAAATTGCCTCCAACTCCACAGCATTCAACTAGCAGAAATAAAACCAACCCCAAACCTTCACCATGTTTCAAACACACATGGAGAGTGAAGAGCAGGGGAAGCTGTCCACTCAGAAAAGAGGAAATTCACAAGTATTTGCAAGCATCTGGCCTCATATTTCTTCACTTCCTCATATTTCTTGCTTTCTGGGTTTTTTCAGTCAATGACTTCCTTCCAGCTCAATATCCAACAAGGGCCCGCAATAAGATATCTTAGAAACTAAATTAATTGATTTCATATGATTTACTGAAATAGCTCAGGTAAAGACTTTCTGTCATTATCAATCTTAATTAGAAAGGACTCACCTACCCCTTTACAAGTGACTTCTATTCTACCCTGTCACCTCTTTCCTGACAACCCAATTCCAGTGTGCCTGATTTGAAGTTTTTCACTACAGGTCTTCAGCTGCAGCCCTTCGGATAAGGAAAATCAGTTCTTGGTTTTTCTTTCCATAACATCAAGGCAGTAAGGATCTTAGAAAACAATACTCCACCAGAGTTTCAGTTTGCCACAGAAACAGGTTATGCTCCAAGATGTGCTTTGCTGAACTTTGTGTACACTGATTTCTGCCAGGAACAGAAGTTCTGGCCACTTTACTGGATATTTTACTGTACGACTGTAACATTATGCAGAAATTAACTCTACCTACTGCTAACATGTGGCAATTAGAGAAAAACATACAACCAAGCACTGCCCCCCAGTGACTGACTCACTTAGAGCAGTATAATTAATCTTACTTGAATTTATCACTCGTATCTTTCAGACAGTTCCCTCTGTAGAGAGAGGTTCTCAGTGCAAGAACAGAAGCTGACCTGGAGGGCTGTTCTTGCTTCATTTCATTCAGTATCTACATTGCATGTATTACTTGACAGATCTCTCCAGCTCCCCAAATCACCTTTATCACCACCTCTCAATGATATGCTCCCAGCTAAGACCACCCCTACCTGATTTTTTTTCACTGCTGATTTATCCTTTTGGCAGTGCTGTTCCCTTCCCTGTACCTTTCACTCAAATACCCAGTTCTTCTCTCACACACTACACTTAGGTTATTTTTACAGAAACACAGAATGGTTGAGTTTGGAAGGAACCACCACGGCTCATCTGGTCCCACCTCAAACAGAAAGTCATGGGGAAAATCTCCCTAAGTATTCTTGATTATTAGCAAGAATTAACCTCTGTCACATACAGAAATCTACAAATTCTGATTAATTTAACAGAAAAAGACATGTTCAATCAGCACCAGACAGGTAACAACATCTAGCACACAACACTACTGGAATGTAGGCACCCTTCTTTCAAAGTCCCAGTTCTGCCATAAAAACCCATCACCAACCCTGCCAATTGCAGGTGTGCACCTGCCAAAATGTTACGTGGTGGAATACAAGAGAGAAAGCACTCCTGAAAATCGATACAAGTCAATGTATAGTCATCAAAAGTTTCTTACTTGAGTTGGACGTCCTTTGGGCAAAATTCTAATCTATCAAAATCTACAAACAGAAAGAACACAAAACCCCAGTTAGTGTTTTAGGATTGTTTTAATACCTATCTAGAAAAATAAATACTTTAATTACTGAGCTAACACTTACCTAAGCCACATTCTCCAACTGCTATCACCTTTGTCTTGTTTTCTTCAATCAGATCTTTTAATTCAGATAAATACTGTTCAGAACCACTCTGCTCAAATTCTCCACAGCGGGTTGGATGACAGCCAACTGTACTGTAAAACACATCTACAGCAACACAGTATTAGGTTTTAAGGAGGAATAAATAACTATATAAGGTATAGACAGTATCTGTGTCTGGACTGCTCATCATTTTAAAAAAAACCTCCCTTTGAACATCTTTATCTTGGTGATGATTTTATTAGACAGTATCTCTAGTGGGGCTGTGTGGATTTTTGATACACATTATTTAGTATACTCCCAATAGGGCAACTCAAAGCTGAATTATTCTGGTGGAGCAGCCCTCCATAAATCATACAATTGTTAAGGTTGGAAGAGACCTCTTAAGAGCTAGAAATACGTCTCATTCATAATGCTTCAGGTTATCCTCAGCTGGAAGATTTGCAGCTATCATGCCATTTCCCTTGTGTGCCCTACATTAGCTGTTACAGAATTCCACAAACATCCAGCCTGATTTACCAAAGTATCTAATCTCAATTTCTTAGTGCCAAAAGGAACATTTCTGCTAAGTACCTTTATGGAGAATGTAAAAGAACAGGGTGAGGAAATGATTGGATTAAGGCCCCAGCAACTTGACCTAATACTAAAGCTAGCCTTGCTTTGATGGAAGTGGGGAAGTGGATTGGATACAACCAAATTACTTCCTCAGGTTCATACCAACCAACATTATTCTATGGTTCTGTTCATAAATAGCACCTTAACATGTGTTTTAGTTCAAATACATATTTTAAGTAGTTGGTGGAATGGTATTTGCCCAAGGCAAAAAGGAGAGATGCATTCCTTTCCACACCAAGAAAAGAAGAGGCAAGAGAAGCATGAAGACACCTCTCTTGTTCAAGCTGGTCATGACAGACTGGCAAGTAAAAACAAAAAAAAAACCACCAAAACCATACATTCCACACAGCTTATTTCTAGAAGACAGCCTTGGAACAAAATTTTTATTCCAGAAATTCCCTGCAATTTCTTTTTTTATCTAGAAATAGAAATAGCATCAATGAAGGATTCCTTCCAAAAGCCAGGGATCTAAAGAGCAACATACAGCCACTCCCACACAAGGCATTCAGCCCATTCTGAAATAGAGTTTCCCATTTTACTCTGAGATTCTGTAAACACCTCCACGGATGGGTCCTTTTGAACTCTTAATTCTGAGTGAAGAAAGTTCTATTTTTGACTGACAAGGCAAGTTTAAAGTGAAAATACCATTTCTCTGTGCCAGCTGCAATGCATCTTTACTGTCTTGTAGACTCCCACCTGTAATCAAAAACTTGGAAGAAGAAAAGTACTGTCAGTGAGTATGTTCTTCTGTGAACATCAAACAGACTGCTTAAGATAACACTCAGATGTAAGTAAGAATCTAGACAGAGAACATCAGAAGACAATTACTAATGTATACATAACAATTGCATAAATCAGTAACAAACCCCAGTGGTCCTCAGGAGCTAATAAATACACTAGCTATCAAAACATCTTTTTTTTCTTTATCAAATATCTTCTACACTAAGTATTTAAAACATTAAAGGAGTAAAATACTTTTATTTGCAGCAACAGCTTCAGTAGATAACAATTCAATAAACTTTATTTGCATTCAAGAAATGACACTCAGAAACATTCCCTCTTACAGGCGGAGAAACTAAAAACTCCCAAACTCCCATACCAAGACATGAGCAAGTAGATAAACCAACAAAGGACTTTGTATCAGAGTCAGGCTTACAAATTTAAGAGTTTCTGGCTCTGATCTTTTATTTTTACCTTAAGATCAAATGTTATTACACCAGAAATGCCGCTTACAGTGATTTTTGAACCACCACTTGCAGAATCTTGCACCCTAAGTCCTAACAAATCGTGACTACACTGCTTCTGGACACTCTTATTCCTACACCTACTATGCACCAGGCAGGTCTGCACTACTGACAAACACATTCCAGCAGTATCACCAGTAAAATAAGTTAAGCTGAAACTGGCTCAGTGTACATGCACAGGGCAAAACTTTACAAAACATTACCATAAAACAGCACCTATATGGAAGAATAGAAGGATTTTCAAATGAACAGATTAAGTTTCTAAGCAAGTAGAAACAATGTGGGACAGAATAGGCCAGTAGCAAGACTGAAACCAGCTAAGTACAGGGAACTCCAGAATTCCATTTCTGAATCTCATGTGCATCTTGAAAAAGTTATGCAGCCAATCTATTTTTGATGGTGGTGTTGAGATTAAACAGTACTTAACACACACAAACACAGTAAAAGTGTATCTGTACCTGCTGCAGTGTGGGAACTTCTTTTTTGTCTTCCTGTTTATTTCCTACCTGAAATTTCTGGTTTTCCTATCTGAAAGACTTATCTTTACAGAGGAGTCTTTCAGCATCTTCCAAGACCTCTGTTCCTCTTCTAGAGGAGGGTTTATTTCTAACTCACCAGCCTTATTAGTGTCATAGAACACTTTGTGACATTATATGTTGCATTCTGCTGTAATTCATACTTTTGTCTTTACATTTCATTCAGTTCAGAATGAGATATGGGAACGCTGGACTACTGTGACTGCAGGAGTGAGGTGCACTGCTGAAAACACTAATTTCCAGCTAAGAGTAACCAAACTGCTCATAAGAGTAACCAAACTGCCCATAATGCTGCTGGTTTAATATACTTAGGACAGTATTTACTAGCAGACATTCACATCTCAATTATTTAGAATTTATGGGCACTCCCAGCTCTTCTGCAGTTACCCATTTCCATTACATATAGAAACATGTGAAGGATCTCAATCAGAAGACTTTTTCAGGTTTGATCTATAGCAGTAACTGCTGAGTAAGAGTTCACACAGGATACAAGGAGAAAGAAATGGTTGTCTATAATACAACTATCACAGAAAATTACATTGGTCGATTGCAAACGGTCAGAGAACACCTATGTTGAAGCTGTACAAAAGGAATTCTACATACATGTCATATATGATACCACTGAGCTTAAATAATCAGCATATAATGATCTGTGCAGATGAAAGACAACGCTCTGCACAGAACACTTTTGCTTCATGCTATCAAAGAAATTTACTGCATTTTCCACTGCAAGGTCTAGAAACATTTGGTTGAATAGGGGAGCACTAAAGACCCAAAGTATTATAAAGCAGTTTAAAATATTAAAGAAAGTTTATTATAAGAAATCACCTTTTTCACACCAACTTTGACTGCTCTCTCCACCACATCCAAAAAGTCATCTGTGAAAGTTCACAAAAATGTCATCAATTGACCTGTAGGTTTAACAGCATAATTAACTACTTTTCAACTAAAAATCACTTTCATGCACCCAAAATGCCGATCATGAGGAATCTTTAAACCACATTTGATTGGTCTTGAGAAAATAATAACAAAATGCCATAACTGAAGCTCCAATTTAAATCCAGGAAGTCAATGAAAGTTTTTCCATATACTTTAGGAAACTGTCTGGCTTTACATCTGTATCTACAGGCCATGAGAGCAAAAAAGAGGATGTTATAAGTAGTAACTATGATTCAGCAATCCTTTGATAGTTTATTGCTCACAGTTCTCAAGATTTTTCCATGCAACCCTAATATAAACAGACTAGAATTGTCCACTTTGCTCTAAAATCCATGTTACCTCTGTAACAGCTTAACAGCAATTAAGAGAATGTGTTTTGCTCAGATCATCTAACTTATTTTGTCTTGCTTTCTTGTTCAAGCCTAGAGTAAACAAGCATCTAGTTTTTGAGGAGAAAAAACCCCCACCCCTCTAACCTCACATTCTGACATTGAAAGGTTCTATTTTAATGAGAGGGATCCTGCGTTTGATCAGGTACAAAGAAACATTTACCTTGATGTTTTTGTGTTCCCCTGTAGATTCCTCTGAACATAGGATCTGTCAGATTAATACCAATATCTATGAAAAAACAAAGATAGCAATTTGATGTTATGGTCACTCTACACTTAGACAAGTTTGATACTAGAGGAAAATTTCCTCAAGAACAACCAGCTACTGGAATAATCCCCACAGGGAAGTGGTGGATTCCCCAACACTGAACGCTTAACATTTGGCTAGACAGGCTGCTAGGACATCTAGTCTAGGTCATGCTTTGCCCAGAAAGATTCATAGAAATCATAGGATCAACTAGATTGAAAAGGACCTTTAAGATCATCAAATGAGATTGGACCAGATGATCCTTGAGGTCCCTTACAGCCTGGTACTGTATGATTTCATTCTGAGCACCAGCCAACTAGGGAAGACAATGGAAAGTGTATCTTAACAACCCCAACTATCACAGACTGTATAAAGCTAAGCGACTTCGCATACATCCAACCTTCACTCAGCAGGAGCAGCAGCAGAGTGCCTCACAAAAACTGCCTGTTCTCCCCTCTTCTGCCCAGGACGCCCAGTGTGAGCAGCACCACGGACACCTGCAATGCAGTCACCGGCCTGAGCTGCTCCAGCCCCTTCTCTCTGGGCCTCCAAGGCTTTCCCCGGGCTGCAGCCTCCCCGCTCGGGGTTGTAGCCGGGAATCAGGCGCACCCACCTCTGCCGCTGCCCAAGCCACCTTTGTAGGGCGGTTTCTAGTGGGAAGGGAAACGCTCCAGTATTAGGCTTTTCAGCCACACGTAAAGCTTCAACCTGAACCGACCTTCTGAAGTTATTTACGTATTTCCTGCCTCATTTATAAAGCACATTTTCACCCAACTCCATGCAACTAGAAATAACCACAACTAACGCGACAATGCGAAAAGGGGGCGAGGGGTACCCAGAAACCCGAGTTCACGGATAACAGAGGAGCCACAGAGCAGCCCCTCAGCGCCCTGCCCTCAAGCACCTCTTGTAAGCTCAAAGCCAGCCCGGAGACACCGAGAGGGACTGCAGGCGGTGACAAGCCCTGCATGACGGGCAGCCAGGTCACCAGAGCGGGCCCCTCACGGAGCGGAGCAGAGCGGCGGGCACAGGCGGTGGCTAACTCAGCCCAATACCGGGCAAGGTACGGAGGGACCCGGGGCGAAGCGACCAGCCCGGCTGGGGACACAGATCCCGGACACAGCCCCTTTATTCCCGGCCCGCAGTCCCCTCACCGATGAACTTGGCCCGGCTCATGGCGGAAGCTCTGCCCGCGGCGGCGGCTGTAGCGCGGCGTCCTCCACGTTCCCGTCACACCCCGCGCGGCGGCGGCGTCCTCCGGCTTCCCGCCGTGCCCCGCGCGCGAAGGTGAGCGGAGTCAACATGGCGGCGTACCTGACGCACCAGCAGAAGGTGCTGCGGCTGTACAAGAAATCCCTGCGGCACCTCGAGTCCTGGTGCATCCACCGGTGCGTGAGGCCACAAGGGAGCCGGGACGAGGGAGGGGGGCTTGGGGCTGTCCTTCCTAGGAGTGGCCTCTCAGGCCTGGGGGGGGGGAGGGGGCGGAGCGGCTGGGGTTCCCTGCCGGAACGGGGTTTTGGGTTTGGCAGGAGTTTGTTCTCTTCCCTTGCCCCAGGGGTGAGGAAAAAGCCTTTAGGGTCACTACAGGAAAGGGTTATGTGGGAACAGGAGCTCCTCAGGGGCTCCTGGTGATGCCGAATCAAGTTAGTACTTCATTGTATATAGAGACTTAGACATGGACAAGGCTACAGGGATAAGGGAGGCACTCAATAAGAGGACCAGATGTCTTCTCTCAAATCAGTGTTGGCCTTCCTCCTGTTGGTAAGGCTTGAGAAAGCTGCAAAAGAAAACAGCTAGAGGAGCCTCTCAGGGTTGGAAGTTAGCCCAAGCAAGAACATGCAGTTAATTGCAAGACTGAATGCGTTCCAATGTCTTTAGCTAACGGATTTCCATAAAAGGGTAAACTGAGCAGGGGTATTTCTCCCCAAATGACCATGATGACCCCCAGAGACCACTCCTCAAATTCACAGTGCCACAGCCTTATCTACCCAAAGTAGCATATGCAGTGAGGAACTGGGTGGGCATTTTGTGGAGTTACAATGACTATGTATATAACAAAGCTATATAAGCTGTGAGCTGCCTGTTCTCACTGTGTGTGACGGGCAGAGCAATCCCTCATGCACTCGGTACCATAATAAAGTCATGTCAGTTTCTAACCTGTCCCTCTGGTTGGAGAGTTTATTTCCTGTATTGGTGACACTGCTGAAACCCTGTCTTTGCACAGGGGTGATGGGTGATGATGCTAGGCTTTGGTTTTGCATGTGGTCCGTGTTCTCCTCCAGTGTACCTCATTGTGCTTAATCTCTGTCCATAGAGACAAGTACCGCTACTTTGCTGTGCTCCTGAGGGACCGGTTTGATAAGAACAAGGATGTGAAGGATATGGTGAAAGCCACGGAGCTGCTGATGGCAGGCGAGGAGGAGTTCTGGGCAAACCAGCATCCGCAGCCATACATCTTCCCTGACTCCCCTGGGGGCACTTCCTATGAGAGATACGAGTGCTACAAGGTGAGGTGACCGTGACCTGTGAGATGGGGTGTTACTGTGCTTCCATTGTGCTTGTGGTGAATGTAAAGTGAGGGCTTGGGCTGCCATAGGGTTGCAGCTTGACTTGGCAGAATCATTTCTGTCATAGCTCACAGCTGCTGAACATCTTGCTGCTGCCATGGTGGAGGCTGTCCTGCTTGTCTCATGCTTGCAAATGGTGGTCTGTCTGAACACTGCTAGCTTCTGTTTGACCTGTACTTATAGAATCATAGAATAGTTAGGGTTGGAAAGGACCTTAAGATCATCAAGTTCCAGCCCCCCTGTCATGGGCAGGGACACCTCAGACTAAACCGTATCACCCAAGGCCTCGTCCAACCTGGTCTTGAACACTGCCAGGGATGGAGCATTCACAACCTCCCTGGGCAACGCATTCCAGCGCCTCACCACCCTAACAGGAAAGAACTTCTTCCTTCTAACCAATCTAAACTTCCCCTGTTTAAGTTTGAACTTGTTACCCCTTGTCCCATCACTACAGTCCCTAATGAAGAGTCCCTCTTCAGCAACCCTATAGGCCCCCTTCAGATACTGGAAGGCTGCTATGAGGTCTCCACACAGCCTTCTCTTCTCCAGGCTGAACAGCCCCAACTTTCTCAGCCTATCTTCATACAGGAGGTGCTCCAGTCCCCTGATCATCCTCATGGCCCTCCTCTGGACTTGTTCCAACAGTTCCATGTCCTTTTTATGTTGAGGACACCAGAACTGCACACAATACTCCAGGTGAGGTCTCACAAGAGCAGAGTAGAGGGGCAGGATCACCTCCTTCGACCTGCTGGTCACGCTCCTTTTGATGCAGCCCAGGATACAGTTGGCTTTCTGGGCTGCGAGCACACACTGAAGCCGGCTCATGTTCATTTTCTCATCAACCAACACCCCCAAGTCCTTCTCCGCAGGGCTGCTCTGAATCTCTTCTCTGCCCAACCTGTAGCTGTGCCTGGGATTGCTCTGACCCAGGTGTAGGACCTTGCACTTGGCATGGTTAAACTTGACACTGTGAGGCCACACCTTAAACTCTGTGTTCAGTTTTGGGCCCCTCACTACAAGACAGACATTGAGGTGCTGGAGCGGGTCCAGAGAAGGGCAGTGAAGCTAGTGGAGGGCCTGGAGAATAAGTCTTACGAAGAATGGCTGAGGGACCTGTTTTTTTTTAGCCTGGAGAAGAGAAGGCTCAAGGGGGACCTTATTGCTGTCTACAACTACCTGAAAGGAGGATGGAGTGAGGTGAGGGTTGGTCTGTTCTCCCAGTAACAAGCGACAGGACAAGAGGAAATGGCCTCAAGCCTCACCAGGGGAGACTGAGATTGGATATTAGGAAAACTTCACAGCGAGTGTGCTCAGGCATTGGAACGGGCTGCCCAGGGCAGTAGTGGAATCACCAACCCTGGAAGTGTTCAGAAACCACGTAGATGAGGCCCTCAGTGATATGGGTTAATGGTGGCCTTCGCAGCCCTGAGGTAAAGGCTGGACTTCAGGATCTTAAATGTCTTTTCCAACTTAGTTGATTCTATGATTCTGTAATCATCTGCTCTTTTTGCCATTGCTCTGCAGTGGGTCAGGCAGGCATGGTGAAATAGTTGGAGCTGAGCTGTGAGAGGAAGGTGTGCTACCCATTGTGGGGCCATCTGATCACAGCCCTGGTTTCTCTCTGGTCATGTCAGATGTCAGCTTGACTGTTGGGGGCTTCTATTCACTCAGCCTTATCTTTCTTCCAGCATTTTGAGTAATTGTACCAATTACCACTCCCCTTCACGTGTTGTAGAGCCAGAGGAGTATTTGTGCGTCACTATGTGATAGGTGGTATGTCTAAAAATAGGAGCCATATTTTTGGAATCCAGGGCACTTCTAGGGGCTTGCTTTCCCCCCTAGACTGTTTTATTTAGGAAGAAAGAAACAAGTTTCGTAGAAGACCACAGGGTTTTTGCTTTGTTTGCATTGTGTCTCTTAATGCATTGCAAAAAGTTAATAGTATTTTCTGTCTAATTTGAATTATATGCTGACACAAGACTAGATCTGAGCAGATCTTTATGCATAAGAAGCCACGTGAAAGGAAGGATCTGATGCAGATTGATCAGAGGCAGAGAAAAGAACGATGAGTGAAAAGGGAAGAGAAGGACTTAAGCTTATGCCAAGGTCATGGGCTTTAGTAGATGTAATAGTCTCTATTCTATTTTCTGTATCAGAAAAAAGGCCAGTTGAGCAATAAATGGTTAGGATTGGTCTTCATATAGAAATACAAAGTGGTTTATGTTCTCTTTTCTTTGCCCTGTGTGATATGCTAACATTGTCCTTTAGCAAAATGGCTGTCACAAGGATTTGGCTTGTTGATACATCAGTGAATGTCCGTTGTGAAGCTGCTGTAAAATGTGATTTTCACATCTTGGGCTCTTTGGTTTTAAGTTGTTTGGTGTGTGTGGATTTTCTGTTTATTAGCAGCAGCTCTGCTATTTGTGTTCAGTCAGAAGGTTTACTCAGTGGTGAGAATCACAACAGGAAACTGGAAGTGTAAATGTCAGTACATGAATGATGGTATAGGGGTAATGTCTTATTTTTTTTTAAGAATTGGGGTTTTTGGTGGGGTTTCATTTTGTTTTTTAATCCAACTTCTGTCTTTAAAATGTTCGCATTTGGTGATACACTGCTGCAGAGTCTTAAGCTTTGCTTTCATTCTTGACTGACATTTTAGAGGTCAGACCATTACCAAGCTCTTAAAGGCCACTCATTTCTTAGGAGGTGTAGACAAGCAGAAATGAGCTGTAAGGTTTTGTCTCTCTCAAATAAATTAGTAGCTGGAGAAAAGGCTCTCTTCAACCTGCTGCCTTTGGGAGAAGGGAGGCAGAAAGGAAGATCTTCTCTTCCACCAGATGGAATTATTGTGAGAGCTTTATAGTTAACAGAGATGGCCTGGGACTTGTCTTAAGGATGCTGTGATTTAAGCAAGTCATTGTGATGTCTTCCTATTACTTGGAATAATATGTGAAACAAAGATTTTAAGTACTCACCTCTGTCATATTGTGCCTTGAGACCAACAACAGGTGGCTCTAAATGGTTTTATGTAGTACTGTATTTCCTTTATATTTTGTTTAATACTGCTTCAGTAATGGTGTTTAGTTCTTGTGTGTGTGTGTACTATACATGATTTTATATATAAAAGTAATATATATAAATTATATTGTTCTTTAACAGCTTCCTGAATGGGTCTTGGATTACTGGCATCCATCTGAGAAGGCAATGTATCCTGACTACTTTGCCAAGCGAGAGCAATGGAAGAAGCTGCAGCGGGAGAGCTGGGATAAAGAGGTCAGTGCTCGCTCAGTGCAGAGTAAAACCTCTTCAGCACCCAAGTATTTTGTGTGACACCCGATGTCTTCTTGGAAAAAATATCCCATGCCTACTGCAGTCTCACACTCTGCTTTGTTAGAACCCCTGCCAGTGGGAAACATGGACTCAACCTAAAATGCCTACACAGAGATCTCAAGAGTTACAGCTTCTTAAAGGCTGTGGAGGGAATTTGAAGTTGAAAGCTAAAGCTGCCACTGCATTTAACTTAGTGTGGGGCTGTTGTAGCAGTGATGCTAAAAGAAATTCCAAACTGGTATGAGAGGAGATTAATGACCAGAGAATTTCTCTCCTGCTGTGAAGCTCTGACACTTTCAGGTTGCACTTTGAAAGTGACCTACCACAGTGGGCATCAGATGGGAATGGAGACTGATTTCTGGCCACC